TTGGAAAAGTATCTAGCAAGTAGTAAGTACTATCCATAGTGATGGTGTTATTTGTTTTTAAGTTTTATGTATGTATGTATGTATGTATGTATGTATGTATGTATGTATTTTGAGAGAAAGAGAGAGTGAGAGGGAGGGAGAAAGAGAATCCCACGTAGGCTATATGCTGTCAGCTCAGAGCTGCAGGGCGGGGCTCCATCTCACAAACCCTGAGATCATGACCTGAGCCGAAATCAAGAGTTGGATACTTAACTGACTGAGCCATCCAGGTGCCCCTCTAGTGATGGTGTTATTAACCTCTGTAAGAGACTTTGTTAATTGACCTATGATGAGATTTATTTATATGCCCTCTGGTCCTATTGGACTGTGCCCTTTTGGAGGAAAGGATTTATCTTATTTTTACCTTTGTGTTCCTGTTGCTTTGTACTGTCTGCCTTCTGCATGGGAGTGTGAGTATAATTCTACAACACATAGGTCTGCAACACATTGCTCCTGTGAGTTGTATGTCCAGTCTCCGATCAACTGGGTTTCAGGAAGAACTGCCTTATACCAGTAGACTGGCTGGTTGTTCATGCTCTGACATAAATATAGCTCACTTCCATAGGTAACATTGTAAAAACAATTCCATTAACATTTCTAAAGTAAAAGGCAGCTCTTAATGTATAAGAAGAGTTATAATTATTTCCTAAGTGTGTTTTATTTCTCTAATGAAATGAAGTTTCAGTGTTTCATTAGCATCATCTAATCATGGGTTCTATAGGTTAACTCTTTGATATAAAAACATTGCTGACTAATTAAAGCCTAGTGTAATCTCTTCCGACTTAATGTGAATACATGTGAAGACATCCTGGCTTAACTTGCAGGTTAGGCAAATGGAAAAGATATCGTAAGGGTGGTACTTAAATGACATCTCTACTATGTACAGTCTTGCTTGCTAGTAAATGTTATTCCTCTATGTTCACCTTAGAATGTGACCAGGCAGCTCTGACTGGGATCTTTTTCTTGTTTATTCTCAAGTTCTAATAGCTGGGTAGAAATAGGGAGAAAGAGACACTTTTGCCTAAATTAGAACTCTCTGTCATATTTTATACACTTGATCTTTCTTTTTGTATTTAAGAGAAAATGTAGGTTCTTATCATTATACATTTTTATAGTTTAAAATTCAACAATAGAATTTTAAAAATTAGGTTTTAATCAATTTCTGTTCTATGCATCTGGCCATTGTTTAGAAAATTTAGACGGTTAGGGAATAGTGTGTTTCACATGGCTTCAAGTCATTTGAAGGTGTTATGCTTTCTAGTTCAGAGGGACATGGAGCCAAGATTAAAACCTGTGAGCTGGATTCCTCATTTTGCAGAGTGATCAATATTACTGGCAGAAAATATAATAAATTCTTTACCTTGGTAATATTTTTGACCTGATTATTACTATGGTTTTTAGAAAAGGAGAACAAATAAAAGAAAAATCAAGAACCCAGACACTTGAAGTTGAAAATAAGTCCTATTTTGGACTTCCCTTTATTTTTGGAATTGTTATCTGACTTAACTTGAGAACAAATTTTTTTAAATGTAATCCTGTCTTGTTATGCTTCCAAAGGGCTATGGAGAGATCATTTGTGCATTTTTTCATTCTAGTGTTGAAATAGACACATATCTCTTACTCAGAAATACTGAATAATCAGGTTGTCTCTGTCATGGCCCAGTTGCAGTGCAGTAAGAGAGAATTTGAAACTGCTATCAACAGGTGGTTTTCTTGGGCACTTTCCAAGGTTATCTAAGGTCTAATAGCTGCTACCTTCATTCTTGAAACATTTTTTTTCTTTTCTAAAATGTTTACATGGAAATAGCCAACACTTTTTAAATGCTTAACATTGTGCCAGACACTGTTCTAAGTTCTTCATCTATATTTAACTCATTCACTCCTCACAGTAACCCTGAGAGACACGTTCTGTTCCATTGAACAGATGAGGATACTGAGGTACAGAGAAGTTAAGAAACTTGCCCACAGTCATGTCACTGATTGATTGGTAGAGGCAGGAAATTAACCCAGGTAATCCACTTCTAAAACTCACACTCTCAATCACGTGGCCATATTGATAAGAGTAGCTGGTAAGGTGGGCCTCTGTGTTCTTGTCTTGGAACAGGCATTATTCTAGTGCACCCACTGTGATGTCTCTGAAAGGAGAAAGCAGCTTATCTTTCTTAGTGAAGGAGCAAGGCCATGGGAAATGAAGAATAGTTCAGGAATAAATGGTCGGTGGTGGGGTATAGTGTCAGAGTTCCTTTCGACTAAGCTTCCAGATAGCTCATTGAATTTATTTGAGGGGAAACTCAGAGGAACTAATGGTGAGGAGGGTAGGGAAGGAAAGATCTCTCTTACAGAGTTCGTAAACGCCCTGATTCACCCATATATACCACCCCTCATCTCAACTCTGCTGTAGGAATTGCATCTGTGACTTCAAATCCATTTTACCATAAGCCCTTTATATTGTATATAGACAAATACAGGGACATTAAATGGAAAGCTTTCCCTGTCTCAGGGAGAGTACTCACATCCAGCTTAGCTTAAAATATCCGAGGAGTCTACTTTCTTTGTCTTCTCATAGCATTTGATATAGGTGTTAGGATTTCTCTACCCATAGCCAGAGCTGTGCACTGTCAGATAAATGCATACTTTTGCACAGTGCCCTTCTGTCTGGAAGGCCAGTCAACTTTCCCACTTTTATGAGCTGGACTTGAATGATAATAACTGGTGCCGCTTATTGAGTTGCCTAGTATGTATCAGGTACATACTTCATTTAGTCTTTAGATCAACCCTGTGAGATCGGTATTAATATTCTATTGTAAAGATAAGAAAAATGGTTTTTGGGAAGGATGAATGATTGTTCAAGGCCTCAAAGGTAATTGGCAAAGTCTAGTTCTAATAAAGCGTTTGTTTTCTCATTGACTGATAATTCATTAAGAAGGCTCTCTTCATCTTTCTTCCTGAAAGCCCAATCCAGGGACATTCTTGAGCTGATAGAACTTTCTCTCTTAAATTGAAAGTACCTCTCAAGCAGAATATGTAGCTGGCCCAAGGTTTTAGGCCCCTTGTGAAAAGAGGTGCTATCTATGAGTAGCATCATCTTTCCAGAGAATAATATGGTTTTGTTTTTTTCTTTTTTCAAAAAAATCTGTCTCATGTGTGTATTTTGATTTTTTTAAAGCCTCTCTGAAGCTTGAGGCCTGTCATCTTCATACTTGTATTTGTTCAGGGTGTTGGTAAGTTCTTTGGGTCACAGTGACACAGAAAAGTGACCTTAATGTTTGAAGATCTGTTTATTCGTTAGTATTTACATTGATAGGTGCTTAGGCTTTCCTGAATGGTGGGTTACCACAGTAAGTCCTGACGTCATATCTAGGCATAGGGCTAGAACAAATGTTCTCTTAAAGAAAAAGTTATGCTGACACTGGTTAAAATGTTAAGGAGGACTTTATTCAAGACTGCTAAAGGTGTCAAGCTTATCACACACAATAGGGGAGAGAGAGCATACTCTACCCTGAAAGCAGCAAGAACAAGTGGGGATTTATAGCCAAGGAGCAGGCTTGGGGCCAGGATAGAGAGGGTGTTGGTGGATAGAAAATTTATTAGGAGGAGACATCAAAGGTAGTAGGATTCTTGGTGAAGTCAGGTGAAGGACTAAATAGGTAGGGGATGAAGATTTTGGTCGGGTATCCAGGGTGGGGAATTCTTTCTAAACTGACTTGGCAAGATTCTTGCTAAAACTGAACTATGTAGGCCTAGTGAGGACTGAGAGCCAAGGTAGAAGCCTAGACAAGATGAGGGCTTGGATGAGCCTGACTAAACACTGGTTAAGGAGAGAGTCTTTGTTGGGTCCTGTTGCTTAAATTAAATGTAAAAGTTCACGTATTAGACTTGAACCCATGGGAGATACCACTAAATGAAGTGTATAGTGAATTCCAGAAAAATGTTTTCCTATTGGCATAGACTTCTGTGGAAAGGTTAGTATGGACGATCAGAGTAGCTCTGAGTGGTGTGACCTTTAAAGCCTCCATGATGCTACACTGTCAGATTGATTTATAATTTTACTTAAAAAATTTATATATTGTTTATTAAATGCCAGGCTCAGTTTGAAATCCTTTGCAAATATTAATTTACTCAATCCTTGAAACAACTCTATGGTGGTTACGCCATTATTATTCACTCTTTACAGATGAGGAAACAGAGGCTCAGAGGAGTTAAATAATTTGCCCAAGGTCACATAGCAAATACTTGGTAGGACTTGGATTTCCACCCAGGCAGCCTGGCTCCAGAGTCTGCATTCTTAATCACTCTGTTAGGCTGTATCCTAGGGATTTACTTCTCATTATTCGGGGCTTTTCTTTATTCTCTCCAGGAATAAAAAATTCTTCTGGATTTAGTCACACTCTAGACTTTGTTCAGGCTAAAGCCTGGTTTGAAGAACATATTTAGCTTGAGGTCCCCTAAAAATTACAGGGTTATTAGTAAATAGCCTTTCAGGTGGCCTTTCACCTTACCAGATCTAAATCAGTAGTTTATTGGTTAAAAACACATTCCCTCCCTGTTCTATAGTCTGTATATTGGTGAGCCTTTCTAATCAAAGGTTGGCTGCTTTCCCCTCCCTTTCACCCCACCCCACCAGCGATCTTAGTAGCATTCTTTTTTTTTAATGAATGCTCCATTTATAGGGAGTGAATGGTAGTTCTTTCATAAAGGCTTTGGGAATTGGCTTCCAGATAATACACAACTGGCACCAAAACTTTCTTAGAGGGACAAATCCCCAGTGAACAGAGAATATCCAGTTCCTAAAATAATTCTTTAGCAGTGTCTTTAAATTCTGCTTAAATTTATCAAGCTGGTATTTTAAAAGGTTCTGGTAAATATAGTACTAAAATTGGAGTTATATAATAATACACATGGAAACTCTAGTATCCCATGGTATCTTCAACTTATGATTTTGTAAAACTTTTTAATTGCAGATCTGTCTATGGCGGTACAGAAATTTTCCCAGTCACTGCAAGATTTCCAATTTGAATGTATTGGTGATGCTGAAACAGATGATGAAATTAGTATTGGTGAGTACTGCTGTTCTTTAATATTCTACATAATTTTAAAAGTCCTACTTCAGACAGTGATTTCATTGAAATGAAACAGATTCACATACCCAAATACTAAACATGTAAAATATTCTGACTTTAATAAAGGTATTAGAGGGGCGCTTGGGTTGCTCAGTCGGTTAAGAGTCCGACTTCGGCTCAGGTCATGATCTCACGATTCATGGGTTCAATCCCGGTATCAGGCTCTGTGCTGACACCTAGCTCAGAGCCTGGGGACTGTTTCAGTTTCTGTGTCTCCCTCTCTCTCTGACCCTCCCCTGCTCACGCTGTCTCTCTCTCTTTCTCTCTTTCTCTCTCAGAAATAAATTAAAAATATTTAAAAAAAATTTAAGAAATAAAAATAAAAGTATTAGGGTAATATTTGGTTATTGTAGAGGAGAATATTGTAAATTGTTTAAAAATTCAACTCTAGTTTTTTTTCCATAAGGAAATTATTTATTTATTATTCTATAATTTAGCTTATCCCTTTGATAAGAGGTGGAAAACAATGTTTGTCTCTGTCTCAAAGTGCATCTTTCACCCAAATAAATACATATTAGACATCCACTATTAAATATACAAGGCACTGGTTTTAAGAATTATTTTACTTTTTAAAAAATATGGTACTGGTTTCTCTCTTTTAAAAAAAAAAGGATTCTTCTTTTTAAATTTTATTTTGGAGAGAGAGACACTTGGAGAGTATTCAAACAAGGAAGAGGGGCAGAGGGAGAGAGAAAAAGAATCTTAAGTAGGCTCCATGTTCATACAGAGCCCAGTGTGGGACTTGATCTCATGACCCTGGGATCATGACCTGAGCTGAAATCAAGATAAAAAACTGAACTGACTGAGACACCGAATTTTAAATTAAAAAAATTTTTTTCTTTAATGTTTATTTATTTTTGAGAGAGAAAGAGAGAGCCCGCGCGCGCGCGCGCACACACACACACACACACACACACACACACACACACACACGAGTGGGGGAGGGGCAGAGAGACAGAGACAGAATCTGAAGCTGGCACCTGGCTCTGTGCTGTCAGAATAGAGCCTGATGCAGAGCTTGATCTGACGAACTGTGAGATCATGACCTGAAGTCAGATGCTTAACCAACTGAGGTTACCCAGGCACCCTATCATTTGATTTTTTTTTTAACATGAGTATTTGTTTATAAAGAAAGAAATCAGTTATGATATACTAAACCGGTATTATTATAGGATATATAGAACAGTACAGAAGATCAAGAGACTTGAGCCTTAATCCAACTTTGCCTTAATTCAGCAGTCTGACTCTAGGAGCATACCCATTCCTGATTCAGATGTTTTATTTCCCATAAAATGAGGAGGTTGGGTTATGTAATCTCTGAAGTTTTATCTGTATCTGAAATTTTACTGTTTGAAGATCAGATTCATGCAGCATTCCTTTTCCCTACATTTTAACAATCACTACTTAACAATTTGTAGATGGTGGGTCCATTTGAGGCTGAATTAGAGATATGTCACATGATCAAAAGACTGTATAGAATATGTACATTTTAGAGGATAATACTAAATGTACTCATCTTCCAGGTGTAAAAATAGAATATTACATGTGTTTCGAACAGTTATTCTCAAAGTTTGATGTATATATGAAATAGCTAGAGATCTTATGAAATGCAGACTCTGAGGCAGAGGATCTCAGGTGGAGTATGTGATTCTACATTTCTAACAGACTTAAAGGTGATACTGACATTGCTGGTCCATGGATCACACTTTGAGTAGCAAGTTTTTGTAAACCTTGACATGCCCCTCCACAATCACATTCCTCTCTTTCCTCTACTATTTCTTTTTCTTCATTGTTTTGTCAATTATATATGTATTCATAAACAGTATATTTTTATTTTTGAACACCTAAGTAGCAAGTCCAAACTTGCTTGTTATCCCCACCAAAAAGAGGCTCTCAGGGAGAAGATACGCTGAATGAGTTTGATTCATTGTATGGCTTTAGCTTGCCTACATTCACAAAAGTTCCTTCTGGAGAAATCACTGGCAGAATACAGAGTTCTTCAACAAGCCCTTGCTACATGTGGGATTTACATTATGCATACAAAAGGGTGATCAAGGTGGCAGTCTTTCAGAGGGGCTGTGCCAGGTGGTCACTTTATTGGCTTTCTCCCTTAGGGGTGTTAGTTACTCTGAGGGGTGTGTAGAGGTAACTGGTCTCTTGAAATCATCAATGACTTCTCCTCCCTCAGTGCTGTGATGAAAAGTATCTGAGCCATGTGGAAGAAAAGTGAAGACTGCCACATGGGCCTTAACAACATGACTTCTTTTCCTCTTGGTGATCTCAGTGATCATGCACTACTGGCAATTGGAACAATGGTTGTCATTTTTGTGTAACACTTCTTGACATTTGTGTCATAAATGTCTGGTCCCCAACATAGGCTTTGTGACGCACACCTGGCCAAAAAGCCTAGATTATATTACTAAAATACTACTATATTAGCATTATTATTTAGAAAAAAATAAAACCCACATATTTATGTAATACCATTTATTTTCACTTAGTAATGCAGTTGTAGTTGAAAGAAGGCAGAGGCCTGATCTGTCTTGTCTTTTTTAAAAAGCACTTTCGCTTTAGCCCCTGACCTAGGGCCTGACTCACAGTAGACCCTTAAATTGTTGAATAAATGACATAATTTTCCTTATAAACTTTAACTTTTTTACTTATATATATAGTATATATATATAAGTAAAATATAGTATATATATATGTAAAATTTGTTTTCTTTTAAAGAAGATTATGTTAAAAACTTTGGGTTGTCATAGATATTATGATTTTTAATGATTTCATGACTTCAAAATAAAATATTCCATAAGGTTGATATATAAAAACTTATGAAATAAATTCTAAAACATTCAAGTTGCTTGTAGTTTGTCTTGCTAAAAAATACAGTAAATATATTTCTGCATATTTCTCTTAATTTCCATTAAACTTCTCACTTACAATACTTTCTTGAAGTCACAAGTAACTGCAGAGGTAGGGATTTAAATAAATGCCCTGCAGCGTTTCAGGCAAATGTTAGGTGATTTCCCCAGGTTGTGGTGAATTTGATATTCATCATTGGTCTGCTTGTCTCTTTCCACTTAGGCTAAATAGATGTTGTGGCTCTTGCAGATTAGATTTGAAAAGTGTGAATTGATCAGTAGGTGAAGATTTATTATAGGCAATGAATAGTGGATCAAACTCTAGTGTTTTGAGGGCTTTAAGGAGTTAGAGAAAAGATTGGGGGATAGAAGATGAATGGTATGTAGGGAAAGATAGAATATTGCTTGTTGCTTTCAATCAGGAGACTTATGTAGCTCTTATTATTGGGAATCTGAGTTAAACATTAATGCTTTATTAGGAAAACCTAACTTAGAGCAAAAAGTAGTTTTAAAAAATTATAAGAAACACATAAAGTAAAAATATAGATATGTTTGCATGTCCTCACCATCTAGCACTTTTTATCTGAGCCTAAAGATAGAAATACATTCTAAACATTTCAAAATAACAATGTAATAAAGACTTGAATAACTATTCCTAACCTGAAGGAATGATGAGGATATTGCAAGCTGTTGTTCCAAGGATAGTAACCTAGGAATGTATCCCTGACATTGTTGGGTAAGGCTGAAGTGGATGCAGTGCAAAGAACTATCCTTACCCTCCTCCCTCAGTTTATTTTTATTTTTACTTTTCTCATCAGGTTTAATTCTACATGGGAAGGTACCTAGTTTCAGCTTTGTTTAAAATATCTTGTTGAAGCCTCAGTATCAGCCTCTTACTCCTCTGGTTTAGTAAAAGGAATGAAATAGGGACAGCTGTGACTTGTAGCGTTGAGTAATGGCACAACACTCTGAGCCAGGGAAGTTTTGAGACTTACCAATGATGTAACCACTAAAAACGATGACTTACAAAAACTCCTTTTTTTTTTTCTTATAAGCAAGCAACGTCAATGAAAAATAACTTGTAAAGTCAAGACATTTGCAGACTTTTTGTTTGTGAGTTGTGGTGGGAATGGGTGGGAAGGTGGTAGGAAGATGTAGAAGATGTATGCTTTCAATGCGCTTACGGCAGAATAGGGGAAAAAACAGATTTTGAGCAAAGTAAGGAAAAGAATATGCCTGTTCCATATCAATATAATTACCTAATTTGTGGAAGCTGTTCTGGGAGGTTTTTAGATGTGTACGCCTGTATCTGGCCTGTAAGTCAGTCCCACTCTTCATGTGTCCCCTTCTGCACCCACCCTTTTGGCCTTGTGCTTGCGGGAGTTCTTTTTGTTTGTTTGTTTGCTTTTCAGTGCTAGTGAGACATTGCTGACTTGGAAGGGAGCAAAATGTAATTAGTTGTCTGGGACCCAGTCTGGAATTTCTCAGGCTCAGAGGACAGGTCAGTTGTTTCCAGAATTGAAGTCCCAAGCAAGACAGCATCCTTGAACTATCCCTTTAGTGCCCTCCTTTCCATTTAAGAGCAGTGTGAGGTCATTACTCCTCTTCTCTAAGGATAAGTGAACTGCACGTGAGCTTTTGATGGCTCCCTTTTATCTTCCAATTACAGTGCTAGCCTAGTGGGAAGCAGCAGCCTGTTGAATCCATCCAACTTAACTTCTCACAGCTGCTCTAATTGCCTGCTTTGTATACTGCTTTAGTTTTTGAACTAAGTAAAGACCTTGAGTTAGGAGTAAGAAGTTCACCAGCTGTACATTTGGGGCTTAGAAACTGGTGAGGGAGGGTACAGAGTGATTACAAACTGGTGTAAGATTCCATCCTTCTTAAATAATAATATGGGTAGACCAGACACAAAATGTATCATCATTTAACTGTATTTACATAGTAAGTAATATGTGTGTAAATGCAAAATAACAATGCCTAACTCATCAGTCCTGGTGTGAAGACGTGCATGGAAATTGATAACTTCCAAAGTCATGTGTCTGGCCTTAAAACCTTACTAATAGGAAATAGGCT